TTGGAAAGAATATTAAATTTTTCATTGAGATCATAAATCGATTGATGTTGGATTACTAATGAAAACCTGAAAGTACTAGACTTCTCAGCAGTGCATAACCATGATCCCGCTTTCGGGACTCGAACAAATGACCTTCGGTCACGCTTGCGAACGTAAATTTTTTTCTAGTACTGATTACTGTAATCTTTGTTTTTAGTTAAGGTTTCGTGATTTTACAGTTATTCTTGTATTACTTATAACATACAGATTGACATTACAGACTAGACTGTTTAGAAGGGATGGAGAGTATGGTTATAAATAGTGCATTATGAATAGTTCATTTACTTTATAAAATAATTCGATAACCATATAGTGTAAGCATGGGCCTGAAATATTTAGAATAGTGTTAGTTTATTAGTAAACAGTTTTGTAAGTCGATGGTTGAGGTACAAAAAACCAATAATATTGTAATATGTAGATAAATTTTATATAATTAATGGATCTATTAAACTCCTTTGAGCATTAATCTGTCCGTAAATCGATAAAACGATGTTATATAAATTCTTTCATACAGATCTAGAACAGCGATCTTCTCGAACTTTGATCTAGAAATAAAACAACTTTTAGAAGTCCCCAGATTTTTCCTCGCTGAATTCAGAGATTTCTGTTGGGAATAAGGAGCACAACGTTACGGAATGAACAGTAGTAACTCTAGATATGGGCTAGAATTAAGGGTTTAGGATCAAAAACCAGTGTTTATTCACGTATTACATATATATTATCTGAATACAAAGTATTGAGTATTTGATACGTTTATTGCCATTATTCACTCTAAAATGAATATATTATTTCAATTTGACCTTTATTTTCATTCCTAAATTAACGTAATAAAAGATAAAATTCATTCGTTCTGGAATTTCTTACTAAAACGGGAAGGTCATTTCTTCACTTCTGATTGTTTCATCTCTATACTATAATTTAATCAAACGGTCTTATATCATTCAACAGTTATGTTCATTTTATGATTAACAGTTATCATTCCTGACTGCTTTGTCTGTTAGGTTAACTACAATCGATTACATGTTCTGTTAACATTATGTGTCCTGTCTAGTAGTAAATTTGAATTAAGCAGACGACACAAACCTTTCAATTTACAAACCTTAATAATAGAAAATGACAATTGGTAGGCCTAAATAATAACGATAAGTTGGAATGACGAATTCATGATCTGTTTTAGCCAATCAAAGGACGAAAAATATAAACGAATGATCTTTAGTGTTATGACAAGATTTACAACTTTCGTATTGAGATAACGTTTAAAGGTCGGTGTAATAGATAACTAAGGTCTCTATCGTAACTCTAACGCTAATTATAAATCCTAAGCATCTAGGTTCAATAAGTCACATTCTATTTTGATAAATCAGTCATGACCTATAATCAATTAGGTAATTAACAAAAATACCATTGAATATTTAAACATGTTTATTAGCAAAACAAATATTTGATAAATTAGCTATATGAGTAGAAATGGATAACGGATAGTACCGTTCGCTTCAAACGCCATCACGTTATCCGTTTAGCTACTGAGTTCTGATAGCTACTTGCTTGTGCAATAGGGTGAAGTTTTAATTCACTTAGTATTGTTTACTTAAATCTTCCTATTGATGTTTTTTAAGACTGAAATCGATAAGTCTGTTATTGGTATATGTGAATCCCCTGGGGATTGCCTCAATATTGTTTTAATTCACAAGCATTCGAAGCAAAGATGTATACTGCCTAGCAATGAATAACACGAAATTGTTTGAAGTGAACGGTACTAAGTTTGAGTTCTAGAGTGAACATGAACTCAAAGATCCAGGTACATCCAGCTGACGAGTCCAGGGTAGGACGAAATTCGCTAGTCACCATCCATCTCTGCTGAGAGATTCAAGTAAAACAATACCCAGTAAATGTAACTAGTTGTATATAATACATAATCGAAATATTTAACAAAGAAAGAAAAACATTTTCATGTTCACATGTTACGAAAAATTGAAAAAAAATGATCCGTTTATTCTCAATGACACATGAATGTAAACTTCTATGAAGAAAAAAATATACCCCTACTTTATTTTAAATGTTAATGTATAAAATTCAATGTATTCATTGTATATTTTACTTTAAAATTATGTTAAGTACGCATATTTTATGTTAGAATACATATATATGCCATGTGAATTAGTTACTGTTTATTAAAAGTAAACTAATCTATGTTATACTATTCTATATTCAATGTCCATTATTTATGTTTGTTACCACACATGGACGAATATAAGCTGTTCATCAGTAGTCTTCATCTAACCCAGTCCTAAGGAATTCTTTTCAGTTGTTTCCAGTCACTATTCATCTTTTCTATGTCTGTTTTCACATTCTTAATGTGGTGTGTGTTTTTTGATTTTCCTCTTGTTTTTTTTTGTTTGCTTCGTGATATAGTTTAATGATTTCCTCAATATAGGTCTTATTCACTTCTAATGTCTTTTCTTAATTTCTTATACAGTTGAAAGTTGCTTTATTCTCTTCAACAGTAAGCTGTTGCTGATGATATCCGACCAATGGACATTAAGTATCTTGTGTAGATAATCATTTATAAATACTTGTATCTTTTTGATGATGGTTGATACAAGTATTTATAGATAACCTGTTGATTATAATTAAAGTTGTTGTGATATTCCAATGAGTAGTAATTAGTATTTCTGACATTTTCCGAGTTACTAGAATAAATGAACACAAGTTCCTCCTCAGCAGTGCACATCCATGATCTCACCTCGCGAGATCCTAACCCAGGACTTGTCATTCTCGCACGTGTGCGCTTAATCACTAGACCACTGAACCGGCGGGCATCCAACAGTGTTAATGTCTAACTTCAACTAATCCACGAAATTGAGCGACACACAAGTTTAAAGAGTATAAAAAGAAAACAGTAGAATAATTTTAATACAATCAAGATGTTAATATCATATTAAATGAAGGTGATTCAGTATGAGTTGTTACTATACTTGTTTGTGTACATAATAACTAAGTATGAGAAATGTATACTCTGTAATATAAATTAGTGGAGATAAAATTTTAAGTGTATATGTATCTAGATTGTGTGGAATATGAATGGAGTCAAATATGTGACTATTTGGAAAGAAACAATAAGTTAATTGAATAGTCACGCTTTTCTTCCCACTGAAGGTAGAGGGATTTAGCTATGTATGGAACTCCTCAGTTACTCATCTCTGTTTGTACTTTGAAAAAACCTTTTTCATTTATTTTGATATTATTAGTATCTATTTGATGATTATTGAAGATAGCATTTACTGGGATTATTGATTCAATTTGTAGATTTTCTAGCTCTATAGGGTTATTAAATCATTTTGTGGAGCTTCGCCTGTTGACCAAGTGTTAATGGCAATCTCAAGCCCAGATAAAATAAGAGAAATGGGCATGGTGTCAGCAACACCATCCCGTAGAAAAGAACCTTTATAAATTAAGTCTTACCAGAAAAAAAACGAATTTGACCATTTGAACTCTGTTCTGGGAGCTGAAGGATATCCATGTAGAAGGGTAACCGTGATTCTTCAGAAATCACGACGCTGATTAAGAAATTAGGGATAGACTCTGCATGTGGATGGGATATGCATTGAGAAAATCATCAAACTGCATCAGGAAGTAAAACCTAACATTGAATCCTGAAAGCAAGTGGGAAAGTTCATGACCAAAGAACACATTGCATCGGGAATAGGGAACGTCTTTCCCTCTCAACCCTAAAATAAACATTGAAAGATTTTTTAGGAGTCTCCATATTGTTCTTCTTTAAGTTCGTACATTAGATTCAAGGTGATCATCATAGTCTGATATTAGTTATCCTGTATGAATACTTTGTAGCCATATGAATGAATGAATTTAACACGAAAATCCATGGGGCACTATCTTAAATCTCATTGGTTTGTACATTAAGTGTAGCGCCATCGAATCAGTAATTTAGTGTTAGTATATACAGATGGCGTTGGTTTGCTCTTTATTGTACTATCTACGGGAGATAAATCAAGCATCTGATACGCTTAATACTATCACTTTTATTATATGATATCAAAAAGAATTATTCCCCGTTGTCGTTTTAAGCATTCTGTTATGTTCTTATGTCCTGTTAATTATCACGTAATAAAATCATCAATCAGAACACCGACTTATACGACCTTGGCACTATGCCAAATCAATGACGCATTAACCAGTACAATTAACCGAGAGTCAACTTTGAGTTCTTATTGGTCCTCTGAAATAGTAGCCTGTCGACTAACTCATCCAGTTCAGTCCAGAACATCAATATCAGTCTCCATACATAATTCATATATTTCAGACATACTTGGTTTGTATACAAACCAAACAGAATACATCACACCATAAAATAGAAAATAACGATTATACCAGACCAAGCTGAAAGTGGCTGTGAGCATGAGAGACTATAACTAATATTTGCCTGGTACGTGTATGTCAGAATAACGTCAACTTGTTCAATACTCATTGATTTCAAGTTTATAAATTTATATTTCACGAAAGAAAGAGGTGAGGCATTAACTCAAGAGGCTTCTAGAAAATAGAAAAAAAGCTAACTGTGTGTGGATCTATCGGTTTTGCACGCGAGCGCTTAACCTCTAGACCACTGATCCGGCCGGCATCCAACTGTGTTAACGTCTAATTTCAACTAATCCACAAAATTGAGCGACACATCCACCATTGTCTTCAGTGAATTACTATCTCACAACAGACCCGATTGAACTTCACTATTCCCTGCTTCTTACTGGGACTTCAGGAAATACCTCTTGAGGAGTCCCACAATAGGACAGAACGTCCGCCTAGTGCTTCCAGGTTTTCCATAGTTGTCTAACTTCAATCGACTAACGATTTCAACTATTAAAATTACTATAATATTCCCCAAAAACCTCCTTTTGATATTAATCATTTATTTCTTTAATTCCTTCAAATTTTACTAATTCTAGTCGATTACTGATTCATTACAACAACTTAAAAGACCAGAAGAAGATATTGATATAGTATATTCTACTGAAATTATTGCACCACCAGCAATTCCAACCAAAATGTCATCTGATCCAAATAATCCTATTTATGTGAATCATTCAATTAAACCAAATAGACCACCAACTATAGATAGAAAAGAAAATGATGTAAGTTAAATAATTTTGAAATATAAAATTATATTATACTCTTACTTATTTACTATGTATGTATCATTTCAGTAAGTGTATAGCTTATTAAAGGTAATACATAGTGACAATAAACATCAATTGGTCCGTACATTTAGTTTATCTCTTACAAAAAGAGGAGAATGATATGTCCTGAGTTCAAATCTCGTGATGCAGGATCGTGGATATGCACTACTGAGGAGTCCCATACTAGGACGAAACGATCGTCTATTGCTTCATGATCTTCCATGATGATCTAGCTTCAATTAACTTATGAAAGGTGTATTATTTTTCATTTTTCTAATCATATGAGAAAGTTATTACTAGTGAATTTTTCGAATATTCTACCCATAAAGTGTAATTTCCAAATCCTGAAAGATTACTATTCACTGTAATAGATACACATGAGTTTATTCATCAAGTTTCTAGGGATAGATGAATGTGTTGTATCCTCAAAGTTTGATCATTTTCATTGTTATTTCATTTGATAGATGCTTGATACATCGAAATATTTAGTTTTCGCTAGAGATTTCATTTTAAAATGTAAACGTTCAGTATATAAATATATGGGTGTTTTTCATTTGGATATATCATGTTATACTATATTAACACGTTCATAGTGAACAGATATGGTTAGTGAAAATGATTTTAAGATTTGAATACAACATAGAAAATGTTGAGAATAGTGATGTTTCTATGGCAATAAATCGATTGAATCGATTGAAGGTACACAATAAACTAATTAGTATCAGAAGGAGTTTTGTGGAAATGGTAGTAATTGCATTAGTTAAGATCATGAGTTGATTGAAGCTAGATTACGATGGAAAACCTGGAAGCAGTAAACGGCTAACTAATTGTTGTTTAAAGTTTCAAAATAACTTACATAAACTAAATTTTGAGTTGGTAGAGAAGATTTGTAGCTTAGGTGGATTATTTGGATGGAGTTTTGTTCTGTAAACTGGATGGTTTGATCGTGGAGCTTTCATTGTTATTGTGAACAACATCATCAGCACAAACGTCAGGTAGAAGTGAAGCGTTTGAATCGCTTCACATATGGCTCACAGCTTATCCTGTAAACTTCAATATTGATTGTTTATTTTTGACATTTAACCTGTTATTGTTTGCTTCTTTATTTTAATTGTATCTCGCATTGATTTGATTTTTGGTCCTATATTTGTCTGTAGTTTTTGTGATTGATTGATAAATTTGACCGACTTCAATATGTTTGTTGGTTGCTGATGGACCTAATTGTCAAGCTTTTAAAAATTCTCTGTTTTTAGAATTATCTCTACCCAAGATTTCAACATTTTCCCATCCGAATGTGTGTCCGCAGTTGTCCATATGCATTAATGTAAGCGAGGATTTGTCATTGCGTTTGACCATTAACTGGTGTTCGTGTATGCGAAGATGAAGAGGGCGTCCGCTTTGTCCGATGTAGTTTTTTCCTCAGTAGGAACAATTTATTTTGTAGTCAATGTTCGGTCTTTTTCCTTGTCATTTTATTCTTTGGTTTGCATAATATTGATTGAAGTGATTTTACTGGTTTACTTGCCACATCTACTCCAAAAGGTTTCAACAACCTCATTGTAATTTATGATATGTCTTTTATATATGTTAGGATAATCCGTTTGTATTGCGTCTTCGCTCTCTTGAACAAGGTTTCTATGCAGTTGATTTCGTGAGCTCTTGGGTTTTTGCTACTGTAATTGGGAATTTGATCTGTTTGAGTTGGCTTCCGATTTACTTAAGTCTCCAGTTTTTCCGTGTCGGTTCTGGCAATTATTACATCCAAGAATGGTAGTTTGTTGTTTGGCCTCTGATTTATTTTTAACTTGATGTCATCAAAGATGTTGTTGATCAGATTGTAGGTGTTTTCTATGATGACAAATATGTCGTCCACATAACGAATCCAAATTTTTGTCTTGATCCCTGGTAAAATCAGGGCTTCCAGTTTCTGCATCACTGCTTCTGTAACAACTAGATTGTTAAAATGAAACCGGTAGAATGTCGCAGATTTGATTATCATTGTTTTTTCCTGTTTGATATGTGAGCGTCTATCAAACACAATTCGAATGTTATTCAGTGATGAAAATTAGGAGTATAAAAATTGATTGTTCTGATCGAAAATCGCTGAAGAAATCTGTATAAAATTTATTTCTATTTTCTTTCATTCATATGTTTGTCTAAAATTTCAACTGGAATAAAGAATGCTGCAGTTAGATATATGAGAACTGTTACCATTCCTCATTTGCATACACTTTTTCCGTGGTGCATGTATAACTAATCAGGTTAGTAATGGTTCTGGCGATCACCTAGCTTGACTGTAGTACCTAAAAGACAACTGTTTGAGACTGGTTACATATAGCCTTTTTACGAGTAGTTTCATGTTGATCAGTTCCGTACTCTTAAAGCCTCAGTGAATACTATGAAAATACATGGTACAAAGTGATATGTGCTATTTCTAACCCCTTCTTTCATTATGATAAGAAAACATCACTGAAAAAGTTAATCATCCTAGGGAAGCATTCTATTGTAGTCACAATTTTGTACTGTCAGCAGTATGACTTCTCTCTTTGGCTTTAAGTTTACTGCTTATAGTTGTATTTCTCTCCAACCAGTTTGCTTGTAATGATGAAGCTTCAAAGAACAAATCTTCACTGAATACAATTCAGTCAGGTAATTACAAAACATAAACTCAACAAGGTAGTACCTACGGTCAGTACTGAAGTACAAAAGAGATATCTGAGTGAACTGTACTTATAATTTTACTTTTCTTCCATTCTAATTCTACTTTTTCATTGTATATCTAAATATAATACGGTTACATAATCACCAGTTAAAGAGGAAAGATTTGCTTTTTCCTATTAGATTTAACAGTTTTCTTTCATATCTCAATTCTACTTCAAAATGAAATCAATAAAGGATTACTGTTAGAAATCTAATCTTTGATTAATACAGTTTAAACAATGATGATTTCAAATATTCTATTGTTAGCAATACATATGATAATTTAATAATAAAAGTAAATAATTTTTAATGTGATTGTCATTAATATTATTTATTTGAGCACACAAATATTGGTACAAAGGGACACTGAATACATATGCGCCACGCAAGTCACATGATTTGTATGTGGGATGTGATACTGTCCGGATGCCCAGACCGAAGTAGGTTGTTTTCTTGGTGGGGAGCATACTCCGAGCCCTCGACCTAAAAGTTAGATCCATAAGGCGACGTCAGGAGATGCAGTCCTATTGTAATCAGTGGCCAATAGTTAGTTCATACGTCATTTTTTTCCCTCAAGATACTGAAGCCCATGTGTATCATTGGTTTGGAATGAGAGTTTTCCAACTCCCCTAAGTAGATCCTTCATGTCCAACAACCTGGTTAAAGCGCAGGACATTTGCTTCATTATACATTTGATCAATTTCAATAATGTAGTTCCAAAAATTTAGTTTAATCTATAAATGATAAATTTAAGCAAATTAAAACAAAATTTCTGTATGACAAATAGATAAATATTCCAATTTATTTAGGAAAATGATAAGCATGTTTATGCAAACAGTCAAGAATTACAAACTGCATTAAAGGTTAGTATTATCTTTCTGAGTTTGTTTCACCCTTTTCCAACCACCTCAAAAAATAGCTTTTTTCTTTACTCTATTTATTCTTTTCTTCCCCTTTCCCATATAAATACTGATTTCAAATGCATACATACACACACACACACACTAAGCACACAAAATGTATTGTGTATGCATGTGTGCATAATATCTGTCAATACAAATTTATGATGCATGTTGAGGTTGAAATGGATTTCTAACAATGATATGAAGTGAATGCACCATGTTGCATGTTTCCCTTCTTTTGATCACTTGTTTTATGTTACGATTGTTATAATTCTGTGTGATTTTCTTGTTTAATGTTTACACTCACTAATAATAACGCTTTTATACTCTTGATCAAGAGTTTCAGTTAGTATAAACATTATCAAACGATCCACCAAGCTATCACAATGTATTCATATCAGTGAAATAAAATAAGACATTTAAAATGATGATTTGAGTATTTTTTCTAGAAAAAAGTGACGACTAAATGGTTAAAATATAATAATCTGTATTTTATCATTCGAATACATAAGATGAAAATCTTATGCTATGGTAGTTTGTGTAAGTTGTTTGCCTTGAAGGATACACTGAAAAGCTGTTTCGTCCCAGTCTGACGTTTCTCTACAGTGAAACGTTGCAATAGCAACTTGGACCCAATCTAAGATATTTAGGTCTATCAGAAACCACGATTTCAGTGACCAACTTCAAGAAGATTCTCCAACTACTGAAAAAAGAAAATGATATCCCTTATAGCATTGAAAGATGATTTATCTACACATAGAATTCATCAAAAATGAAAATACAAACTTCTGTATTTCATCTGAATGACCGAATGACATCATAATTGTCATTGTACCTGGATATTCCAAGTTGAATTTTACTTGAGGTCGTGGATAAACGCCATTGATTTCTATCCCAAGACATGACTAAGCAGCCGTTCAGTGTACCACAGTTTCATAATAATTCTGTATTTTACTTAAGTTTGCTGTGAAAACGACTTCAATATGTGAATAGTCTGTTTTAAGAAGCTGTCTAAAATGAATGCATTATCTATAACTAAACTGTATGTGCTTCAGAGAAAAAATAATGATTTACAGTCAGTAAAATGTTTCATTAAACTTTAACTACTTAATTTATTTCAGTAGTTAAAGTGTTTAAAAAAATTAGCCTATGCAACAAGTGACAATTTATTGCCAATCAGAATTAGCTACTAATGAAATATCGATTTTAAATCATAGTAAATCAATAATATTGTCTCTTCCACCGGAAGCAAGTCCCCACATGCCCTTTTAAAACTCTAATACTACACTATACATTAATCTATGTATATAAATAAATAAATATCCTTATCGTATATTAGGCAAAGGAGTTTGCAGCGTCAGCTATAGTCGACAGTGTGGTATCCAACAATGAAACTTATTGGAAAGACGAATTGAATAGTCGAAATACAACTATTCAACCATTAAAAATGAATTATCAACAATATTATATAACAAGAAGTGAACACTCAACACCTAATCTATCGATTAGATCACAAAGTTACCCAAATAATAATTATCATGAACAGAAGAAGCTTTATCTAACATCAGATTTTCTTTCTACCCAACATCAGTTATCGTCACCAAAACCGACACGACCAAGTAATCCACCACTTCTATCCCCTATGGATCATCATCAAAGACAAGATAGATTAGATGAAAAAAATCAGATAGGTATTCGCCGAATGGATTTAATGAATTCAATTAATCCCGGTGACAAATTTACTGATTATGATCATGAACATTTCAACAATACTGTTGGATATTATAACACAGAGGTAAGGTGGTGAAATGATCACGTATAGACTAACAAAGCGCAAAATAAGTAGATAAATGCGTACATGCATAGATCTATACTAAATTTCATTTCAACTAATACATCATACAATGCTAGATGCCTATATAGCTTGATTGATTTATAAGATAGCTCACATATTTTTTTCAAAATTAATCACTCATATCCATGCATTTTTGTAGTAACAGGTGGGTGATTTAGTTTTGTTTTTCACCCTTACTTATTCCCAAATCTATTTATAACCATGTTTAATCACATTACTGAATTAAAGAAATAATAAGGTACTTGACATTTTCAATATTGATATTTCTTCCGGTCAATAAATAGTTTCAATATCAAGTTAGACATTGATACTTGACAAATTTTGATAATGGTGTTGATGTTGTCATTAAAGTAAGTATTCAAGACATGTTGAATAAACTGTCTTCTAGAAAATTCTTTATTATCGTCTATGGTGTTTAACTCATTACTAAGGACCTAGAAAATAACTAGACATATTCTCTATAGATCATACATCTCAGACTGATTTAGAAACTGAACGAAAAAGTCAATCAGTTTACCGACGATTGTTTAGAGAAATACTGAGAGTTTTACGACTAACCACTTTTTTGTTTAACTATGTGATTATTAATAGTAACAGTATTCAATATCAATTCAAATGTCAAATATATACTGTTTACACTTGTAAAATTAAACAAGCAAATGATAATACAACTGGATTGGTTGAAGTGAGACATTAACACCGTTGAATGCTGGCCGCCTCAGTGATCTAGTGGTTAAGCACTCGCGTGCAAGATGGATGAACCCTGGGTTCAAATTTCGCGAGGCAGGGTCGTGGATACACACTGCTAAGTAGTCTCTTGATAGGATAAAACGGCCTTTCAATGCTTCCAGATTTTCCTTGATGGTCTAGCTTTACTTGACTCATGAATTCAACTGTAAAATTACTAAAATCTTCACAATCCCTCCCTCTCTGGTAATTTCTAGAAGAGTTTACTTCCTTTCCTTTTTCACAACTAAACCTAACACCATTATATGGCTATATTGTATCATTTTTAATTGACTAACCAATATATTCCACATTTTTTCTAAAATTTTGTGTTTTAAATGCAAATAATGAATCATAGCTGCTTGCCTTCTTTATGTTTCTTTTGAAATTAGAATGACTCTATGTTTCTGATGCATCATTTATATTTGCATACTTATTTACTTATTTAATAAAGGAAACTCAGAACATAAAAATTGATTCTTTATAAAACAGTCTTTTGTTTTCTTCTTTACTTACTGATGAATTACAAGTTTAACAATGATATAGTATTGATATATAGCTTTCTAGCATTATATTACTATCTAACATCAATTTAAGTAGTATATTAAGGTGTAGATAGTTTGTCTTATTTATCCAACTTTATTTAGATTCAGTGTTCAATTATTATTAATTAGATTTGCTTCAAGTTCACTCAAATCACTTCAATGAATTTTGAAATGGAATGACATATTTTTTTATTAATATCAGAGGTTTATGACGGCTTATGTTCACACCGTAAAGATATGTTAAAGCACAGACTAACTTCATTAGAATCATCATTGAAAATCAGAATACACTTGGAAATGGTTTACTTTTATTATGGTAAATTTCTGATATACTGGGTGTAATTCGTAAGGTAATTGACGATGAATGAATAATATCTCATCATATTGAAGGTTGAATACGTAATCCAACCGCTATAGGGTCTATGGTGAGACTATAATTTATGGACGAACTAATCAGATTTAAGATAGCAGGTCTTAGATTTTGGCTAAATACCTATTCGGCATTATAGCTGATGTCAGTACGTGATGAAAACATTGAATATAATTCCTAACTCTAACGTTCAACTGTAAATCCTAATCCTAGTTCCTCGCATTAATTTATAACCCTCATTTAACCCTAGTAAGTAGATGGACATGTTCAAAGGTCGTCTATAAATGATAGTCTCAACAGGTCTACATTTGATTTCTTTCATAAATTTGTGTTCGCCTTGATGAGGAACCTTATCATACGTTGAAATAAATGCTATGAGCTACCTGGTTACCAATGGTTTTCTAGTCGAATTTAATCTTTAATGTAGACTATTAATTTGTTTCCTTGTCCTGAATCAACTTAACTATTAATTTTTATATAAAATTTAGTATAGCCATCATTATAATTATCGTTTTATTACAGCAGACAATGATATTTTATAAGGATAAACTAAATATATTTCAAAGAGAGCTAGAACAAAGATTGGTGCAGATTGGTGCACCCAGTTAGTGAAGAGAAGAAAGGCTGATTTAAATCTAACCTAGTTGATATCACGAACCAATATCTCATTTCACTTATACCACAATCTAAGCTTTTATCCAAAGACCATTTAACAGCATTACGAACTGTATCGATCTTCATTCTTGCTCTCTTTAAGATCATAAAGAGAACTATATGTATGAAATATATTTCAGTTATGTACAATGTAACACATTGATAAAGTAATTTGACTGTGTACAGTCAATATTATTCATAAAAAAACGTCAGAAATAGTTGACATAATAAGATATTGCGCAGTAGCACTTAACAATATGTAAACTCTTCAATTGATCTTTAATGTGTTATGCTTATTGTAAATATCCGAATATGCTCTGACAGAAAGTTTAACCCTCAATTATCTCATATAACTGTTGGTTATTGAAAGTTAATTATCATGTATACAGGTTATGTGTAAGATGGTTTACTTAAAGTGATCTCTTTCTTACACTTGGTCTTTGAAATGACAATATAGCAACGCCATATTTTTATTTCTAAATTAAACAATCTTCGTTTTCATTGCTTAAATATACTGGATAGTTTTTGCCTAGAAAGATCATCATTTGGACAGAGTTTAATGACTACAAATTTGAACATTTACTCCACAAAACTGACGTGATTGAACTTGTAATTCAATACATCTATACATTGCCATTCATTTCATACAGTAATAATCAATAAATATTAACCTTAAGTACTTATTAAAACCCTATGTTTATTTCTTATAATCCAAGAGAGATAAAAACTCGAATTTTGTCAACTACTTCTCTAACGAATATTCACGAAGTGCTTAGCATGTACTTAAGTGATGTAATTCTTTAAGTAAGAAAAGTACCAGCGAAAGGACTTGTGAAGATAGTAGTATTTTTAACAAATAAATTCATGAGTCAATCTAAGTTAGACCACCAGTGAAAACCCTGGAGCACTGAATAGTGGTTTCGTCCTAGTAAGGGACGCCTCAACAATGTGCATCCACGATTATGCGCGCGAAACTCGGGCTCAGGACCTTCGATCTCAAACGAAAACCTAACCACTAAACTACTGACGCAGCATCTAACAGTGTTAATGTCTTACTTCAATAGATCCATGACCTTGTACAACACTTCATCCCTTGTTTTTGGTGGATAACTGTCTTACGTCTGATACGGCTTCTCACTAGAACTTGAGGAAATCCATCTTCAAGCAAGCTATTAGTAGATCGGCTCAGTGGTCTAGAGGTTACATACTCATATGTGTGATCAAAGGTCCTAGGTTTGAGTCTCAGCTTCGGGCTCATGGATTTACAGTGTTGATGAATCTCATGGTAGGACGAAACAATCGTCCAGTGATCCCAGATTTTAACGGTAATCTAGCTTAGATCAACTCGTGAATTCAACTGTTAAGAAAAAAGTACCTTGTCGAGATGAAAATACTTCCGATACAACTGAAACAAAACTTGTTATACTCAACAAAAGTCTTTTACAATTCTTTATTCCATAAAAATAGTCATTATTGATAAATCATGCTAATTGAACGCTATATTCGGTTCCTAGGCTATCCTCGTAACCCTGAAGCTAAAACTACACAGCGACTTGAACACTACAGAAAAGGAGCAAAATATGCGAAAAGCACTATACTCCAAAGGTTCTCTTTAGTACAGAAAATATAGGGTTTTTTTGTAATATCTTAGATGTCGTTGGGTTTTCCACAAAAAATTCTAGAATGTTACTAAACATAGTAGCACTATAGTAATCAGCCAATAAAAAACACTACATGTGACTTTTCACTTTCTTGATGTTTCTATCTAAACTTCTAGTGAATACTGATTGAATAAAATGCTTCTTAGTGTTTCCTGAGGCATTTTTGGCTTTCGCGAGATGTTTTCTGGATTACCCCAACAATTACTTTTATTTTAAAGCTGATGATGTTTTAAATCATAAAGATTTCATAAATAAAGGAATCAACCGTATAGCCAATGGCTGACTTGATATTAATCAACCTTATGACTAATCTCAACCAAATGTTTCACAATGTCAAAATCATTTAAATAATTAACATCAATTAGCATGTATCCATAGATCTTTATATTGTTTTAAATAGCACGATATTTCCATGCATAATGAATGGTCACCTTTGAGATCTATTTATGGACAAATACTATGCGTATATTTTTTATCGTATAATTATTAAATAACTAAAATATGCATATTCATGTCCCTTTTCTTATAAGCTTTATTTTGACCTATGAATTATCATTATACGATCTACCATTCTTGAATTAGGCTTTGTTTATTAATCATTCACAGCCACATTTGGCTAATTCTTGTACAAATGTCGTTTTCATATTTTATGATACGATGTGGTCGGTTTGATTGTTATATAAACCAAGTATGTTTGAAATAAATGGTTCATATCACAGAGGCTGAGGTTGGTGTTCTATACTTAACTGGCTGGGCTAGACGGAAAGCAGCACCAATCAGGACTCTAGACTGCTCGTACGGGTTTCACGAGTCATTGGTCCGATCGATAATTCACTGCTCTCTAATTGGTGTTATCATTACGTATACATTAACAGGGCACACAAGTTATAACAATAATTAAGAAATGTTTGCATTTCATACTTGTATATGTGTTGCCATGTAGTATTTTCAATAGAAATCCTAACATTATGTTTGTTTTTTTTT